TCCTCCCTCCCCTCCTCCTCCTCCTCCCCTCCTCCTCCTCCCTCTCCTCCTCCCTCTCCTCCCTCCCCCTCCTCCCTCCCCTCCCCCTCCTCCTCCCTCCTCCTCCCTCCCCCCCTCCTCCTCCCCCCTCTCCTCCTCCTCCTCCTCCTCCTCCTCCCCCCTCCTCCTCCTCCCACCACCACCCCCCTCTTCCCTCGGTCCCCCTGGTCCTCCCCCCCCCTCCTCCTCCCTCGGTCCTCCTCCTCCCCCCCCCCTCCTCCCCCCTCCCTCCCTCCCCCTCCCCCCTCCTCCTCCACCACCTCCTCCTCTTCCCTCCTCCTCCTGGTCCTCCCCCCCCCTCCTCCTCCTCCCCCCCCCCTCCCCACCTCCTCCCTCTCCCCCCCCTGGTCCTCTCCCCTCCTCCCTCCCACCCCCCCACCACCTCCTCCTCGGTCCCCCTCTCCCCCCTCCTCCCCCTCCTCCCTCCTCACCTCTTCCCTCCCTCTCTCCTGGTCCCTCCCCCCCCCTCCTCCTCCCCCCACCTCCTCCCCACCCCCGGTCCCCCTGGTCCTCCTCCCCCTCCTCCCCCTCCTCCCTCTCCCCTCCTCCCTCCCGCCACCACCTCCTCCTCCTCCCCCTGGTCCTTCCTCCTCCTCCTCCCCCCTCTCCCCTCCTCCCTCTCCTCCTCCCCCCTGCCCCACCACCTCCCTCGGTCCCCCTGGTCCTTCCTCCTCCTCCCCTGGTCCTCCCCCCTCCTCCCCCTCCCCTCCCCCCCCTGCCTCCCCTCCTCCCTCCTCCCCCCGCCACCACCTCCTCCCTCGGTCCCCCTGGTCCTTCCTCCTCCTCCTCCCCTCCTCCCCCCTCCTCCCTCTCCCCTCCTCCCTCCCGCCACCACCTCCTCCCTCGGTCCCCCTGGTCCTTCCTCCTCCTCCTCCCCCTCCCCCCTCCTCCCTCTCCCCTCCTCCCTCCCGCCACCACCTCCTCCCTCGGTCCCCCTGGTCCTTCCTCCTCCTCCCCTCCTCCCCTCCTCCCCTCCTCCCCCCTCCTCCCTCTCCCCTCCTCCCTCCCACCACCACCTCCTCCCTCGGTCCCCCTCCTCCTCCTCCTCCTACCTGAAGGTGTTGTCACAGTTCCTGTGCAGCTGTGTGCTTGTAGGCCTGTGTGAACCTCCTTTGTTCTTGGGGGATCTCCATATCATCCTTGCAGGCAATTGGGTAAGGTGGGGCATTGGCTGCTGTGAATCTGGGTGGGCATTCTGTGTGGTCAGCTTCCAGTTTGTAAGTGCTATCCCTTATCTGTCTGGCCGGCACTGTGCTCGCTTTTTATGGAATGCGCCAGTTTTTCATGGTTCGCACCAGCCCCTTTTGCAGCTTGCCACTTTGACAGGGCTGTCAAGGGGGTGGAGGGTGCTTACCCAGTTTGACAGCCCCTGGTTCCATAATTTGTGGGCTTTAAGAGTTGTTTTATGTAGCTTGTAATTACCTAGGTATAGTTACAGGATGAGCTATGCTCGCGGTGTCCTGTTATCCTAGTGCTCTTTGTCGTATAACGCTGTGAAGCTAGTGACGGTTTTGGCCTCCACCACCTTCTCACATGGCTTGTTCCAACCGTCTACCATTCAGTTTGCAAAAAAAAACTTTCTAATGTTTTTTCGACACCTTTGTGTCCTTGGCTTGAATTTGTGTCCTCTTGTTTGTGTCCTCTTGTTTGTGATGTTGCTGGTTTCAGGAATTTCTCTTTGTCAATTTAGTCGATTCCTGATAGTATTTTCTTAGTGGTGATCACTTACAAAACTGTGGTGGTTCCTACCCCCTTTTGGGGGTTTGGGTCTTTTCAGGCAGGGCTTCTTTCTCTTGCCTGCAATGGGTCATCTTGTAGTGGGTTGCTTCTAGTTACGACTGTGCCACTTTCGTGGGTTTTCCGCCTCTTCCCAGTTCCGAAGTGGGACTCGACAGACCTCTGGTTTATCCTTGACCTTTCAAGGCTGAAATGGTTTATCCCTTGTTCAATGTTCTAGATGACCAGGACATGTATTGGTACATCCCTATACTTCCGAAGTTATGGATTGGTTAGGTTTTTGTGTTGGGGCATCAAATCTACCATCAGATTTTCCCCACTTGGAGTCAATCTGCCTCCACACGTGTTTACATGACTTGAGTTGTAGTGGCTCATCTTCTATTTTTGGAGGTTCATGTTTTGTGCTACCTTGATGACTGGCTAGTGTAAGCTCCCAGTCGGTCAGTGTATCTGTTAACCAGAGATCGGTTTTTTTCTCGGCTCACCGAGTTTGAGTTCCTTATGAATTGGCTGGGCTTTGTGTGGGACTCTGGGTTGGCTTTGCTTTTCCCTCCGCCAGTGGCCTTGACCTGGTTGCAGTACCACCATCTGTTGGTATTGAGTTGAAAAGTTGATGGTCCCCAGGTAACTTGACAAGAGGTTGTGCTGTTCTAGTATCTTCAGTTCAGTCCTTTTTTGTTGCCACCACAATTATTGGGTGCAGGCTCCATTGGTCCTTCTCCGAATGTTGTGTCACCAGTTTCCTCTTTGGGCTTTTTGGGGTTGTGTTCTCTGGCGCCTTCCTCCACCCTCGCTCAGCGTCTTCTCCTCTGGGTTGGGGCTTTGTGGCCAGCACTGACCAAGCTGCCCAGGGTCATTGTTCTTCTGCCTTTCATCGGGTTTACAGTACAATGAGGGGTGTTTGTGGCCTTGTGGCATACATTGTAAAGAGGTTTGAATTCTTCCGGGGTCCGTGCTCCGGCTCCATTTGGACTGTTCCCCCATGCTTCATTGCCTGGGTTCTTGGAGTTTGGTTCTCTGTGCAGGTCATGTTCAGGGAGTGTGCAACGTTCTCGCAGGTGGTCTGTCCCAGTTCCTTCCCCTTTCCATGGAGTGAACCATTGATGTCACCTTTTTCCTTTGGCTTTGCAAGATATACGAACACCCAGAGATGGACTTGTTTGCATTGATGTGGAATTGATGCCTTCTTTATGTGGCTCAGTTTTGCTATTGCAAAGCCTTCATGGTAGATGCATTTTGGCTGGACTGGTTGAGATGGCAGTTAATATACAGTACCTCTTTATTGGAAGAGGCTGGGCTGCCAGGGTGGACTCTGGTTCTGGCCTGGCAGCAACAGCTGGTTTCTCCTGGTCTTGGCCAGGTTGGAGTCATACCAGGAAAGAGTGGTCCTTTTGGCACCTTTGGTGACTGGCCCAGCCTTGGTTTCAGGTGCTGTTTGCACGGTGTCTGAACCCAGGTTATTTTTTGCGGCACTGCTTTTATCAGGAGGTTGGCCCACTGATGTATTTCAACGGTTCCCACTTCGTAACTTTACATCTGGAATATTTGACACTTCTTTATCACTATCTTTACAGTGAGTAGGTTGTTCCATTAATGGTGTCCCACCTGCATTCCTCTTCTAGGCAACATTACGAGGTTTCATGGTTCTTTTGCTACTTACATTCCCATCGTCATTGTTTCTCTGTTTTTGAGTGTGGTGCTGTTCTTTGTTAGCTATTTCTTGATCAGCATCTCATGCCAAAGACTTGTCTTGTATTGTACAGTGCTGCCGGAACTACTGCAGTTTGCATTCATCGTCAATAGTTCCTTGGCGCCATTTCACTGGCTGTCTCACGCTTTGTTTCACCTCTGCCCTGCGTGGTCTTTGGACCGTGTTCTCGCTTTTCTGTCTTATTTTACTGTGATCTCTTCGGTTCATGTTTTTTTTTTTTAAGGCGTTTTTGGTGTCTTGCCTCCATTTGGGTTGAGGAACTTCATGCTGTCTTCAGGAGGTGCAGTTACTGTTCCTTTGGTCCGGTGGGCACTTTGTTCACTTACAACCAGCTCTCTTTCTGGCAAAGAACTAGTCGGTTGGCTTTTGGAGTGATCTTTTGGTTATTGATGCTTGGTTGGTTCGGCTGGGGGTGCAACACGTGCTGTGTCCGGTGGTAATTCTCCAATGCTGCCTTCATGCCATTGATTTTGCATTGGTGGACACTTTATATCTTGATTCTATTTCCTTTGTTCCCCGTTTCAAATCTAGTATTTTTCAAGTCGTCAGCAATGTTGTTAAGGCTAGTCAGACTGGTCTATCCTTGTGCCCGTGATTGAAAATATGCCGCTGTCAAGGCTGTATTTGCTAGTATGTCCTGGGCCAGTATTCGGGTGCAGGGGTTTTGGTGTTCTAACACGGTTCTGGCAGTCCAATATTTGATGAATGTTCCTGCACCTCGGCATCGTTGGGTCATGTATGTCACCTGGGAGTTGTCTTTGTCCTGATTCCAGTGGTTCTCCCTCCTCCCTGATAAGTTCCCATGTGTTCTTCCTTCTCTATGTGCATGTACTTAACCTCGGGGAGCAACAAGGGTCTCATCCCAGAAAACAAGTATTGACTGTGATGAAATGCCTCTTTCTGGGTGACCCCCAGGGGCTCCCTGATTCCCTTCTTCCCCTCCTTTCCTTTCCAGGTAGTTATGTGAGTCTTGTTTGTGAAAGTGCTACAAAACTGATGGCTCAGACATCAGGAGATAGCGAGCCCCTTCCCCCATCTCCCCCCACTTTTATAGGAAGGTGGGGCAAATGAGCTCACTCTAGTTTCAAGAGATTCGATTGTTTATTTACATAGTTGGAGAGGAAGGCGGATTGTAAGGCTTTGGTCTCTTTTGAACCCAGCAGTGGTTTGGTTTGACTTGCTGGATGCCTTTCCTGGTGAGGTGGTGAAATGTCACCACTCGCTGCACCTCTGTGATGGGGTGCAGCGAGCGTTGCACCCCATCACAGAACACAAGTGTGTGTTCTGGCTCTGGTCCCCAGTAGGCCTAAGAACTCCATGGTTGATGCGACCTGGTAGATGGGAACCATCTCGGCGTATAATTCCAGGGAGCCAACAGGGCTCTCCCAGAAAGAGGCTGGTTTTCACATTGAATTTTTATACTAACTTTTAAATAAAAGTTGTTCAAATAAATAAAGTGGGTTATTTAATATTTTCTTAGACTTTTCTGTAATGCTGTATGCTTTTCTTACAGGAACACTGTATGCTGGCCTGGGGTAACATCAATATATTTGACTTTCGAAATCAGCTTGTACGCAACAGAATTTCCGTTGTAATGCTGCCTCCACCAAAAGGTTACGAAGAATTACTTAACCCCCTGGGAACCACAGGTAGAGTGATGGCATTTCTTGTATTTTGAATTGTTCAACTAAATAAGATAGCTGGAGCTAGTAGGAGGAGACTGAAGAACTTCGGGTTGTGAATGGTTTGTGCAGAAGTGGGACATTAGGTAGAAGCCAAGATGAGTGAGAATATGTAGGATGAAATGCGTGTTTGTATGGTGCTGTATAATGATTAGACGAGAGGGAGTTCATTTGGGAAAGTATGTATAGTTGTGCAAGTATAGGAAGAGATGTGTGTGAGCTTGGACACCTTTGAGGAACATAAGGGTAGGGTGCAAGGGATGTGTCGGTATTAAGGAATATAAGGGTAGAATGAGAATAGGATATCTGTGGAGGAATGGAAGGATAGGGTGAGAAAAGGGTGCCTCAAGTGGTTGTGAGGAGGATAGAGAAACAGGTGCATGTGAAGGCCCCCCCCCCCCATTCTTCTGGAGGAGTTTTTCTGTGTATGTTTTGAATGTATCCTGGCACCAATGGCTCTCATGCCAGATTGTGAACAGTGATGTATAACAGCTTGGTTAACCAGAACACCAATCAGGAGGCCTAGTTACAGACTGGACTGTGAGGGCATTGTTTCCTAAACCCAGCACAAAGTAGACGCAAGGTTTCTGCCAGTTTCTCATGTACATCCTCTTTGGTGAAGAAGTGCGTGGTCGGGGTTACCGTTACCAAATTTGTTTACTTTCTGGATGACGGCATCCCCGTCTTGCCTTGTATATATTTAGTTGTCAATCCTGTACTAAGGCTTCTGTACATTGAGTTGTGTATAGAGTTGTTCAGTCCTGTACTCTTCTGAATAGGAACACTATTCTTATGCTGAAATGTTCATAAGATCATGTAATTTTGCAAGTGTGATCAAGGCACAGACATGCATGGGCATGTTGAACAATTATTTTTTCTTGTCTTAATATTAAAATGTACAAATTATTTTTCCTAGAGCATGATTAACATTTTCCAATGGTTTCTCCATCTTGCTGAGGTGTTTTCAGTATCTGGTAGACTGTAATTTACCTGAATTTATCCAATTACCCAATCTCTAGATGAAGAAAACAAATACTGTAGCAGAACTTCTCAAGTGCTCCACTCCATCCCAAGAACGATGAGGAAGACTATGTAGTGAAATAGAAGTGATCGAGCTAATGCTAAGAGGATTATATAAAATCAAGAGAGGCAAAGGGAGTAAAAGGCCATAAATGAAAGAGGGGATCATGAAATACTTTTTTTCCTCTGCTAAAACAAGAACAAAAACTGCATCCAGCATTGTACCCCTTGTGCAAGGGTGATGGAACTCTCACAGATGGGTACAAAGAAATGAGTGAAATATTGAGGCTACAGTAAGTTTTCAGTGAACCCTAGAGCACACTGAAGATCGATGATACAGATGAATTCTTCATGAATGTGATGCCAACATCGAACCACATACCAGCTGTCACCCTTGACCCCACTGGACTTTGAAGTAGCATAGACAGCATGCAGATGCACTCTACCTCAGGCCCAGACTCGTGGAATTCTATATTCATCAAGAAGTGCAAAACACCACTATCACAGGCCCTAAACATCTTTTGAAGTCAGTTCCTAGATACTGGCATCATCCCTGACATACTTAAAACAGCGGAGATTGCATCACTTTACAAAGGAGGTAGTAAAGCAGATGCAAAAAAATTATAGACCAATAGCTCTAACCTCATATTTCATGAAAAATTTTGAGAGTTCAAAGATTTTGGTCCCTTTTGGAAGATTTTGGCCTCCCGCATCCAACCTGATGAGGTGCGGGAGGCCAATGTGGCTTACGTCCTACGCGACCCAGATTATGCCTCGATAATGGATCCTGCCTCTTTTGAGTTTGGTTCTATCTTTCATTCCTGGGTGCGTTACGATGTTCTGGAGTCATCCTGGTTGGTGGACTGTCCTATCTTTTCGTTCGGGGCGTGGCGTACGTGCCGTTGGTCCTGCAAGCTTGAGTGGCGAGAGACCCTTACAGTGGTTCAGGTTTATCTGGGGGGCGAGTTTGTGTGCTTCAATGCATGTTTGTTCGCCCCTGCACTTCCTCGGGATGTTGGTCCTGGTACAGCTTCACGTGCAGGTTTCCTACCTTGTGGTTGCCCTGGTTGCTGAGGACTTGCGCATCCGTGGTCATTCGGCTTCGGTCTTGCATTTCCTTTCACCTTCTCGAGCCGTGTTTGGACTAGCTTGAGGAGGATGTGGAGGCACTCGGGGCCGATCCTGGGTACTGTGCACTGGTCTCGGCAGTGCGGGTGTAGGCTGATCTCTTGAAGCTGTTTGTGAGGTGGTGTGTCTGTTCTTTGCTTCTGGTGCTGCTTGCTTAGTGTCCGGACCCAGGGGTCTTTCCATGGCTCTGCCTCTTTCAGCAGATCAGGCCAGTCCGTTACGTAACTAGTTCGAACTTCTCCTCGAGAAGATCCTCCTCATATTTTATTAGTTTTTTTCTGAGGAACTGTAGTCTAGTTGTGCCGTCTATCCATCCTTCATTCTATTGTCTTATTTTGTTAACCGTGCCATAGAATTCACTTTAATTTGTTAAGGATGATGATCCCCTCTGAACTGCGTTGTGCCTCGATTATAAAATTTACTCTCTCTCCAAATGCTCTGCAATTCTTTTTCTGATGACTATTTCAGCAGTCTTGCATTGAATGCATGGCACTAGTTTATAATTTAGTGCTTCATATCACCATTTCTTGAATATTGGAACTACGTTTGTATATATCCAGATTTCCAGTAGCTCTTCTGTCTCTTAGTGTAATGTTGAACACAATAGGTAATGTGTAACAAGATCCCTGCATCTTTCTTCAGTACCCATGCTAATATTTGGTCTGGTCCTTCTGCTTTTGTTACATCTAGTTCTCCCAGATATAATTTTACCTCTTCTATATTAATTTCAGATGTGTCTTAACATTAAAGGATTACTAAGAACACCTTTTGAAAGATATTGTAGGATGAGATCACAGCCTTCTTTGACCATCTTCACTACAGGACACACACTGGGCAGTGACACCACCTGCTTGGAGGTTGGCTTCGAACGACGTTTTAACCAACATGTGACATTTCCCGACACACAGCAGATGGAGGACTATGCGCGCTACATCATCAAGCTGGAGGGCAAAGAGAGCCATGAGGTAAAACTGATAAGGTTAAAAAAGTAAAGAGGATCTCCACTAAATCATATCCATAATCATTAGATTTGGGGAGTAATATGGAGACATAATGTAATGATAGAGATTTATGTACCTTATCTAACTGTAGTTGTAGTATGAGACTACTCTTACCTTATCCTGTCCAACTAATGGCCTGTGTAAGATGACATTTTGAATCTTCCAATGGTTTTGATATTCATTCTCTTTTTTTAATATATTCAATCTGCTTTTCATCATTACCCTTCCCCTTGTTTTCTTAATTTGAATCTATGATTTCTAGTTTTCAGTGTTGTAGGATTTTAAGAATTTTTCATCATTAATTAAGGAAATGATAATTCTGTAGTAGTTATTGATGTTAATTTAGTTTTTTGGGGGGAGCCCAATTGGTAACTGTAACTATCTTCCTGAAATTTCTCTGTATCGTACCTCATCATGTCTGTCATGGGAATTCTGTTTGGCTTATCAAGGACCAGAACAACTCTAGTCTCCTCTTGGAGGTGGGGAGAGCAATGGACATTCTGCCGCTTCATTGGGAAAGCATCCACAGAGTCAGCGAAGCTTTATAGACAACTGCTGGGTTCACAAGACTCAAAGCCTCGAAACTTCCAAACAAGCTCCCCAAATGATTCAATCGGAACCAAATAATTCGCTAGATACTAGTTTGAAGCCATTAGTAGTGATTGTCGCCACAAAGCGGCTTGGAGCTCGGTCCTCTGCCACCTCACCATTCAGTTATCTCGATGATGTGGTAGTTTTCAATGTTGTCATCTCATGTGGCAAGCTAAGTGCCATCCATCTTAGGATTTTCCTGTGGGGACCATTTGCTTGTGTATTGTTCCAATATAGTATTTGCATCATGAGCATGGTTTTCAGTCAGGTGTTGTTGTATGGACTAGGCTTCTTGTGCTTCGAACTGCATGCATCCCGCGGCTATTTCTTTGGGTGTTTGGCAATTCCTCTTGCACTGACTTCTCTGGTGTGTTCGGGAGTTTACACTTTGGAGGTCGGCCACCAGACTGCTACGGGCTCACCATAGCCTGTGCTACTTGGAACTTTTTGTTCCAGGTAGCGAATCTTAAACACCACCACCACCACCAGACTAGTGCCTTTGATATTTCAAGGGTCACAAGACTTCTCTGTTTAGGTCTGAGGTTGGGGCAAGTCCATTGTATTGAGGTGCACTTGGGGATTGCATGCTTTATTTATATTGTATACTGCAGTTGCCATTTGCAGCCCCGGTTCATTGGGCTGTTTTAATTTTTTTCAGAGCATCCCCAGTGTTCGGGAGCTCCTGTCTGGTTTATTACTGTAACCCCGCGGTTATCCAGGATTCAAACATCCGGAAAACGCCCTTATACGGCCAAAATCGTGATCGGATAAATTTATCACAATATCCGGCCAAAATGGCCACAGGAACCGGATAAAAGCTGGATTGGCCGGATGAAAATTCGGCTATACCGTATTAATCCCGTCTGTGGCTCTAGACGCATGGTGGTGGTGGAGGGGGTGGAGTGGGTGGGTGGTGGTGGGAGGGGTGCGTCAGGAGGGACCACCTGGGTACAGGAATTACCATTAATTTTAAAATACTTAATCATAGCCAAAAACAAATGAAATAAGTACTAGTAATTATGTAATAACAAATAAATAAGTTTCCTAAAAGTAATGTGCACGGGCTGAAGTTTCCTTCAAAAATATAGTGAGGTTTTTTCCTCCTGGTGGCCTACGTAACGTGCTATAGCTGCCCCACCCGAAGTGGACCCGTCCAACACGGGTCAACCCATGTGCATCCGTCCCTCGTGTTATACACAGTGCTGCGCCATTAGTGAAATAAGCCAAGCGCCTTCAACAAGCAAGGCGTCACAAGCAAGCCAAGCGCCTTCAACAAGCAAGGCGTCACAAGCAAGCCAAATGCCTTTAACAAGTGAGGCGTCACAGGCAAGCCAAGCGCCTTCAACAAGTGAGGGCATGCAAGCACTTCAACAAGTGAGGAGCATGCAAGCGCCTTCAACAATCGAGGCCTCACAGGCAACTCAAATGCCTTCAACAAGTGAGGCTTCAGCATCTGGCAGTCAAAACTAACTTTGCTTAATGAACTGTACAGTAATTTTAAGTGTTAATTTTAGTGTTGTGTTAAGAGTTCTTAACTTCAAGATGTGTGGCATCAATCAAGAAGACGAACACCAACAAGGTAAGTTGAGGTTTCTAGTTGAATATTTAATAATTATATGTGGCAAGGCAATTCAAATTATGTTGTTTGTAGTATAAAAGTAGGTCACTTTTAAACTCGTAGGTGAAAAAGTACATTTATTCGAAAAATGTGATAATCCGGCTGGGGGTCCTTCCCATATAGTCCGGATGATCAAGTGGAGACAGTACTTACAGACCCTAGTAGTTCAGTCATAGGTTTCTGATGAGGTTAATTGTGCATAAAGGATGGTCTGTTGAACCTACTCTTCCCCAATTGTGAATTAGAAGTTCATCGTCTTTGCTACAAGACGACAATCATTCTGCCTCTGCCTTACTGAAGGTTGGGTTGGCAATACTTACGACCCTCAATGTTGTGAGGCTTGTTACCTCATGGGTTTTGATCCTTTCTGATCCTGCTTCTGAAATAGAGGCATACCAGGCACTTTACAGGCTCAGTTTACCAGGGTTCAGCATCTGTGGCTTCGCATATGTTGGATACCCTGGAATTGTATCATATAATTAGGAACCTGGAATTGGTGGGTGTTGATAATTTCCATCTTGGCTCTGTCTATGCCTCCTTTTCCATTCCCAGCAGATGTGGTACACCCTGCTTTTTTTCCCTACACCTCGTCTTCCCCGCTTCCAGCTCTGAAATATCTGAAGGTTTCCGAGTCTGGGAGGGTTTAGCTTGGGATGTAGCTCAGCAAGTTCTGGGGGGTTGCCCCTTCCTTCTCGAGCTTGGAGGCAGTTGTTCCCTCTAGTCCCGCCAGGTTACAGAGTATTCCGCTTTGCAACCACATGTTTTCCCATGCCACCACCTCGGGAGGATGCCTTCCTTTCTTAGGCATTGTGCGAAGACTTTGGCTCTTGTCTGGAGCTTTCATGACAGACCACTGGAACTGAAGGGCAAAACCTGACTTGGGCCCTTGCATGTCTTTTGATTCCGCCTGGTGTTTTGTTCCTTCCGAGAGGTGTCATATGCTTGTGGGAGGGTTTTTTTCTTATCCTCTTGATAGGTATAAGTGTGATATTTGTTACTTTCCCCAAGGTCTATTTCCCTGTGCCTTTCAATCCTGCAGATTTGTCTTTCCAGAGGTTCTCCTCATTCTCAGCTTGCCCTTCGGTCACTCATGAGAATTTTTTTCATTACCTCCTGCAGAATTCGGGCCTTCCTTCCATGATACACACTGCTTCCTTCGAGTTAGGGTTGGTGTTGCCATTTTGACAACCCTCCTGGCTAACGACCCTTATGACTGACAACCCTCATTTTTTCTTGGGGTTCTATCTTTTCCCTATGCTTTAGTGGCATGAGGTGTTCAACATTTTTAGGTGTTTTTTTGCAGTCCTTTGTATTCTCCGCTTGAGGAATGCGTGTTGGCTCCTGTTCTCGCCAAGGATGAGGGTAATTGGCAACTTCATCTTCAGCTCCCTGTGCTGTCTGTTGCCCTTATTGCAGAGGATTACAGGGAACATAAACATTTGACAATGGTCATGCATTTTTTGGGCCCCTTGTAGAACTTTTTATGCTGATAAGCTCTGTGCGGGAGTGGATAAGTTTTGTTTGGGTCTGGGTGTGGTGTCTTGACGTCTGTGGTGCCAGCTGAGGCTACCTTGCCCGAGATGCTTGCATCCATCCTTTGGGAGGCAGTGGCTGCGTTTCATGTGACTCAACTTGAGTATTGGCTGGTCATCCTGGCTCCATTTAGATTTGGCGGGGTCCTTAGTCCTTGTCTGCCTCTTATCTGGGGGGAGCCCCTTGAGGCACCCTGAAGCTATTACACTGATATAGTGCCATACTTTTTTTTTTTTTTTTATTTATTTTTTTTTTATTATTTTCTACCCCAGATGTGGCCACACATTTACAATGCTAACCAGCATATATACATTTTCTTCTGTCCTCCACGGACAGGGTTAGAGAAGTGTTAAACATATAGTTCAAGGGTTTATTGAACACTCAACCACAGAAGGTGATTCGGTGCTTTTAAAATGCTTAGCTAACCTACATATTTAAATACATAGATACACAGATTTTGCCCTACATAAAGTGTTTGATGTGTCTTTTACATAGTGTCATTAATGTACATTCACAAAGGTGAAATGTAATTCTGATCAGCTTCCATATATACTTTATACCCATACATATACATACACACACACACACACACACACACATATACATACATATACATACATACTGTATATACACACACATGCATTCACATACATTTGTCTCATTTACTCTGACAGGGTGAGATAGCTGATAAAGAAACTAGTGTGCAATTAAGCACTTAATCACTGAAGGTGCTTTTACAAGCTCACCTAGTGCCATACTACTAGGTGCCATCTGTTGCAGAGTTCTTATTGTAACCAGGAACCGGAACCAATAAGAGCCAGAACCTGGCCTTCCCCCTCAGAAAGGCACGGGGAGCAGTGGCACTATGAAAACCTTTTATATGAAGTTATTCATGTCAGCCACACCCAAGGAAAGGCACCCAGGAAGTCAGCAAAACAGAACAGTCTACTGCTTGTTAGAAACGAGACTGCAGCCTCAAAACCGCCAAAAGAACTCTTCCCCCAACAATATAAACAAATGGCTTAAAATTCATGAAACTAGCACAAGGTGTTTTGCCCCACCTCTTCTCCTCATATAGGGGTAGGAGGGAAGCAGAGCAGGTCAGCCAGCTGCTCCACCATCAGTTCTTATACCGATGTAGACAGTGTTGGTCACCCTCTCAGATCGCGACCAACAGATGAGGAGATTCAGTTTCGTGTCTTTAACTAAGTGGTGTTTGCCT